ACCTTTTAATCTTATTTCAGAGGTAGGTCGCTGAAATTTCTGAGGTATTATTTCTGGATGTACAATACATACTTCGGACCCTGTGTCTCGAAGTCCTCTCATGTCTTTGTTGTCAATGGAAATGGATTCTAAGTAATCCTCAGATGGGGTGTTTGACAAGATGAACAAACACTGTTTCTCTTGAGGCTCTGTTTCTGAACTCTCCTTTGACACAGTATCTGGTTCTGCCTTCTTTGTTTCTTTTACTTTATTCACAAAGAGGGTTGTTTTCTCTTTTCTTAAAAGGGGACATTGATACTTTATATGGTCCCACTTTCCACACTGAAAACACCTTCTTTTTCCCTCAGGAGCAGTTTGACTTGTTACACCCTGCCTCCTCCAGGTGGTGTTTTCTATGTCAGAACCTTTTCCTTGCTGTGGGCGCGTTTGTTGTTGGTAAAATGGCTGCCTGTTTGTTCTTTTATCACTTGGCAGATCTTCCCTTTTGAATCCTTCTTTTAGGTAATTATTTGATCTACCATAACCGCTGCCTCTACTATAGTGGATGGTTTGCGATCCTGTATCAGCCAGCGAAAATCAGAAGGCACTAATTGGAAAAATTGTTCCAATTTTAAAAGTTCTCTCAGCTGTTGGTAATTTTCCACCTCAGACGTCCTTAGCCAACTATCGAACAGTTGAGACAATTTAGAGGCCACCTGAGCAAAACTTTGGTTTTTATCTCTTTTTAGGGTCCTGAACTTGAATCTGTAGAATTCAGGAGTTAATCGAAACTCTTGTAGAATTTGTTTCTTAAATAAATCATAATCTCCATAAGACTCCTCAGGCAATTCTCCATAAATTTGTAAGAGTTTTCCACTTATCTGTGGCCTTAGGTATATCATCCATTTTTCCTTAGCAACCCCAAAATCTTTACAACATCTTTCGAATGAGATTAAAAATTTCTCTACATCATCATCCTTGGTAAATTTAGGAAATCTCTTTATTATATCTGGGGTATCCACTCCAGAGCTCCCTTCTTGGATGTTACTGGATGTTTGAGACAAAGCTAATTTCTGCTTTTGCAGTTCAAATTCCATTCTCCTCAATTCTAACTCCTGTTCTCTCTCTTTTTGTCTTTCTTCAAACTCCAGTTCTCTCTCTCTTTGTTTTGCCTCTTTCTCCAGTTCTCTCTCCCTTTGTCTTTCTTTTGCCTCAATTTCCAATCGTTTCATCTCTAGTTTGTACTTATAAGCCATTTCTGACACAGGCACCGGCTCAGTTTCTGCTTCAGAGCCCGAACTTTCTTCTTGGTCTCCCTCTGTTTCCTCAACAATCTTTTTCTGTCGCCTGGTAGCCATATTTCAATAACTTTTACCTCACAACTTATTCTCAAGATAATCTTAAGGCACTTGATCAGTTGTTAAACGTATCCCGTCATCTGCCACCAAATTGTAAAAGATCACCGCCAATTTTAATGAAGCTGCCACCAATTTGCAAAGAAGTGCTTAGGTTTAGGAGAGAGGAGCCACCCTATTTGTAAAAGGCTCTGGTATTAATACCAATGGATGCCACCCTATTTGTGTTGTGAGGTAATTTTGGTAGATTGGGTACACCGAACGTAGAATTAATGGAGATGAGGCAGTCTTAAAAACTAAAGAGAACAAGTTTATTTTGAAACAAAGCGTATGGTTGCAGTTTGATGTTAAGCTTGGCAAATACTTGGAGAACGTTACATGTAACTTGGTTGCGATACAGTTCAAACTTTTGTTGTTACAACTTATAAATAACTCCTGCTGTGGTGAAGCACTTTATTAACCAATGTTCCCTGAAGTGAATAGTCTCCCTGTTTGATCTGTCCTTGATCAAACTACTGATCTCTAGTCTTCTCCCGACTAGCGATCTTAACAAGCCTCTGTTAGTTCTTTCTAACTAAAGAAACTAATAAGGTTTTCCCCTTCAGCTTTCCTAACTGAAGAAATCTCTAACTATTCACGAACACTGTTTCTCCACTTCCCACTTTCTCTCTACATGACTGTTCACTCCTCCTAACCTAACTCTTCTCTCTTCTGAGCCTAAAACCTGACTCTTCACTTCTCTGAGTCTAAAACCTGACTGACTTTAACTGTCGCTTTTCAAAAACTCTCCTCTCTAAGCTCCTCCCACTTCTCTTCAGCATCGTTTCCATGGTAACACACTCCTCACAGCTAGGCCGCTCCAGCCTTAGGGCAACCAATGCAAACACAAAATACAGTTATAAGCATATTATTATAATCACTTCTGTACAAACATCATTTGCAGACAGGTGACATCGAACTCCAAAACTCTGGATGATCTCCCCCAATGGCTTCATGTAGATGTTAAACAACATGGGAGACAGTATTGAGCCCTGCGGGATCCCACGGAACAATGACTGTGGGGCCGAGCAGGTATCTCCCAATAACACCTTCTGGGAATGGCCCTTTAGGAAGGACTGTAGCCACTGCAGAACAGTACCTCCGAGGCCCATTCCCACGAGACGATCCAGAAGGATACTGTGGTCGACAGTATCGAAGGCCACTGAGAGGTCCAGCAGAACCAACAGGGACACACTCCCCCTGTCCAGTTGTCGGTATAGATCACCCACTAAGGCGACCAAGGCAGTCCCCGCCTAAAGCCAGACTGCACCAGATCTAGATAATCTGTGTCCTCCAAGATCACTTGGAGTTTCGAGGCCACCACATGTTCCAGTACTTTACCCAAAAAGGGAAGATTGGGGTCCAGTGATGGTTTTTTCAACAATGATTTTTATTATGGCTTGCTTTAAGCTGGCTCGAATATTGCCTTCCTTGAAGGAGGCATTAACCACCACCTTCACTCACCCTGCCAAACCTCTGGCTTCCTTTACTGGCCAGGATGGACAGAGGTCCAAGATGCATGTGGTTGGCCTTGCTTCCCCAAGTATCTTCTCCACATTCTTGAGCTGCACTAATTGAAATGAATCCATCAAAACCTGATAAGCAGGTGCTCGTGTTACATCCTCAGAGACTGCTGTTAATGTAGTGACAAGGTCTGAACAGATCAAAGCGACTTTGTCCGCAAAGAACCGAGCAAATGCTTCACAGCGTGCTGTCGAGTTGTCAGGTTTCCCGTATTGGGAGACAGGATTTAACAACCCTCTGACTACTCGGAACACGTCCGCTGGATAGTTCCTTGCGGACGCAATATTGACTGCAAAGAAAGATTTCTGTGCAGCTTTTATTGCTGTGTTGTATGCCCTTAGATAAGCACATAGCTGTTTTTGATTTGACTCACTGAGCTCTGAACGCCACACACACTCGAGTCCCCTCTACATTTGCTTCATCGCTGCAAGCTCCTTGTTGAACCAAGGAGCAGGTTTAGCTCGGCTACTTGAGAGGTGACATTCCGGGGCAATCATGTCTATTGCCCTAGGTAGTTAATGATTTAGTCATTGCGGGCCTCAATCTTTACGAAGGATGTTTCCAAAATTATTACCTCTCATTCATTCATTCTTTCATTCAATTCCACACAAACAATATATCATTTCAAATCTCCAAATTAAATTTCTTGTGACAAGCAGATGGCAACTACTGGATGCCATATGTTCTGCATCAAAAACTAGAGCTGATGTGTTCTCTCCAATGTGGTTTTCTGCATCAGTACCCCAAATAAGCAAACCGAATCTAATGTTGACCAAAAACTGATTCGTAACCTTTATGGTGCTAATGTTGTAGAGTGGTTCCTGGTCAAAGTCGTCCCTGGTCAGGGGGTCCTGATAAAAAAAAAAAGGTTGGGAACTAATGCACTAGATAGATGATATAAGTGATTGTAAATGTAAATATAACCAAGCCATGCAGAATTCAAAAAGGGACTCTTCTATTTACACGAATTCTTAAAGTATTGTTAAGGGACATAACAGGTGAGGAAGAGATTTCTGGAATAAGGATTGGAAAAGGAAATTAAATATGACAAAAGAGTAAATCTAGAGAGGTCTAGAGGGTGAAGCGTATTATATTAGCTTTCTTTGTGACTGGACTGGAAGAGACCAGAGTTCACCTATCTTCCTTCCCCTTCCCCTCCCCCCTCCAATTTTTCTTTCTTCCTTTCCCCCCTTTTAAGGAAAAGGATGTATAAAAAGAGAGGGAGCAGATAACAGCAATGTTACCTGGAAATGAAGTCTGTATAAATTTGAGCACCAATGGAAACCAGGAGGGCCTTCTCTTCTGCGGTCTCCCCATGATGTGATGCCCTCCTCTTCAAAGCCCACCTGGGGCAGAGGTTGATGCAATCCCAGTCTCCAGGTCTGCATTCTCAGGCCTTCCTTTTAAAATCAATTATAATTCATAAAATGAAAAATAGTAAAACCTAAACAATTATGTTTCAGGAACACAAGCTCATGCTTTTAAGAAACACATTTTTCAAAGGAGACACACCACACGGCGGAGCTGGAGGTAATACGTGAAGCCTGGGGTGGCTGCAACACATCCACTGCTCCCCATTCATGAGCAAAGGAAGGGCGGGAAGGATGTCAATGCCTTCGGGAGGCAGGAAGAGGAGGGTGGAGGGGCCTGCAAAGACAGGAGGGGAGGGTGGACTCAAAAGGAGAAGGCCCAAAAAGCCACGCGGAGGTAGAATCCCTGCAGCCTCAGAAAAGTTATGAGTCTGGCCTTCCAAGGAGGAGAAGAGAGTGCTTCCCCTTTGAAATCCTGTGTTTGTTTCCTGCAGGACTCTAGAGTTTGTAGTTGAGAGAGGCCCAGGACCCCCCTGGCTGAGGATGAGAAAGGCCCCTCCCTGAACACCTGGCAGTGTAAGAAATCGCACACAGAGAATCCTTGGGCCCCGTCCCCTTTGAACCTGAGGAGGGATTGTTCATAGTTGAGCAAGTGTCAAAGTATTTGTCACCAGGCAATGGGCACCTTCCCTCTTCCTCTTGGTTTGCTACAGCACTAGACTTCCTCTTCATGTTCCATGAGATCTTTCTCTGTTCAATTCCTAAAGAGATTTTCCTCTCATTTCTCTGGCAGGTAACTTCGGAACAAGTTCTGCGAAGAACGCCTTGTGAGAGCTTTGCCCGAGGAGTGCTGTCAGTCCAAATTGACCTCAAGATACACAACAATGACAAGAAAAAATAAGTACTAGAAAAATATATTTGAGGCTACTTACCTGTGCTGTTAAGGCGGGAAATAAGATTTTGCTGTAAAAAGAGAGGCTTGGGAAAGCAAGCAGAAGGCTACAGCAAGACAAAAACTGTTGTGTTCAGGAGGTTATATCTGTGAACCCCTGGCATCATATTTGAATTATAAATGTAAAAGAATGGCAAGCACTCTACCTCCCTATCCTAGATCAGACACAGGGGAGAAGTTACATCAGTGTATGGAGTGTGGAAAACAATTTGATTGGAAAAGTAATCTTACTGTACATGAACGGACCCACACAGGGGAGAAGCCATATAAATGCATGGAATGTAGAAAGAGCTTCAGTCAGAGTTGCACTCTACGGTCCCATCAAAGGATCCACACAGGGGAGAAGCCATATAAATGTATGGAATGTGGAGAAAGTTTCAGTCGCAGTAGCACTCTACGTTCCCATCAAAGGATCCACACAGGAGAGAAGCCATATAAATGTATGGAATGTGGAAAGAGCTTCAGTCACAGTGGCAATCTACGTTCCCATCAAAGGAAGCACACAGGGGAGAAGCCACATAAATGCATGGAATGTGGAGAAAGCTTCAGTCAGAGTGGCAATCTACGTTCCCAAAGGAAGCACACAGGGGAGAAGCCATATAAATGCTTGGAATGTGGAAAGAGCTTCAGTCACAGTGGCACTCTACGTTCCCATCAAAGGAAGCACACAGGGGAGAAGCCATATAAATGTGTGGAATGTGGAAAGAGCTTCAGTCACAGTGGCCATCTACGGTCCCATCAAAGGATCCACACAGGGGAGAAGCCACATAAATGCGTGGAATGTGGAGAAAGCTTCAGTCGGAGTGGACATCTGCGTACCCATCAAAGGAAGCACACAGGGGAGAAGCCATATAAATGTGTGGAATGTGGAAAGAGCTTCAGTCACAGTGGCCATCTATGGTCCCATCAAAGGATCCACACAGGGGAGAAGCCACATAAATGCGTGGAATGTGGAGAAAGCTTCAGTCTGAGTGGCACTCTAAGACATCAAAGGAGTCATACAGGGGAGAAGCCATATAAATGTATGGAATGTGGAAAGAGCTTCAGTGACAGTGGCACTCTACGGTCCCATCAACGGATCCACACAGGGGAGAAGCCATATAAATGTATGGAATGTGGAAAGAGCTTCAGTTGCAGTGGCACTCTACGGTCCCATCAAAGGATCCACACAGGGGAGAAGCCATATAAATGTATGGAATGTGGAAAGAGCTTCAGTCACAGTTGCACTCTACGGTCCCATCAAAGGATCCACACAGGGGAGAAGCCATATAAATGCATGGAATGTGGAGAAAGCTTTAGTCGCAGTGGCACTCTGCGTGTCCATCAAAGGATCCACACAGGGGAGAAGCCATATAAATGTATGGAATGTGGAAAGAGCTTCAGTCGGAGTGGCAATCTTCGTTCCCACCAAATGACTCACCCAGTACAGAAGCCATAGAAGTGCATAGAATGTGGAGAATGTTTCAGTCAGAGTAACTGTCTCGATTCCTTCCAAATCTATCTACATTGCTTTCAAAGGAGCCACATAATAGAGAAGCCATATAAATGCACGGAATGTGGGAAGAGCTTTAGAGAACGTTCAGCATACAATAAACATCACAGAACTCATGCGCCGCTAGAGGAGACCTGCCTTTCAGTTTCTGAGCTCTCTTTCAAAAAATATTGGAAGGAAAGAGGAAGGCCGGCACCTGGCTCTCTCTCTCTCTCTCTCTCTCTCTCTCTCTCTCTCCCATGGACTAGTTTGTGTGGCCTTGGTCGACGGCTACTGGGAGCAGGTCTCACTCAGAAGGGGATTTTTCTCCGTATTGCAGCAAGCTCCGAAGGGGTTCCCCTCGCCTCCTCCATAAGAAACCCATCACAGGCTTCTAGGGTGATCTGTGGAGGTTTGCTGAAAGGAGCAGCAGCTGAGATCTCTGGAGAAAAAGGTTCTGAAAAAGAAGAGCTCTTTGGTAGCAGAGAAGGTCATCTCTTCATACCCTCGTCTTACATCTTGGCTCTGTTGCCCCTCGGTTAGAATTTTGGCCTCTAGCCATGTACCTGTCACCCCTTTCAACCCTTTGTTGTATCCTGAATAGATGATTATAAATTCTGGACTGACTTCTGGTTTCATTTATGAACCAGGACTTGTTTGTATCCCTGACTTTCTGGCTTGACTTTGGGACTCTGAGTTCGGTTTGTACTCTTGATTTCCCGCTTGTTATTTCATCAGCTCTGTTGAATGAACTCCTGGCATGTGACTCTGGGACTGTAACCTTTCTTCTTGCTCCTGACCGGGATCTGCAGTGCTCTACAATTGGACTCCTGACCTTAATTAACTTGTCTTCATGGTTACTCCGACTGTGTTGCTGCAATTGTATTATTTTAGCAGGACTGGTGCAATGAGTTAAACCCTTGTGCTGGCTGAACTGCTGACTTGAAGTTTGGTGGTTTGAATCCTTGAGACAGTGAGAGCTCCCATCTGTCAGCCCTAGCTTCCCCGTGCGGTGACACGAGAGAAGCCTCCCAGCAGGATGGGAACACATTTGGGCATTCCCTGGGCAATGTCTTTGTAGACATCCAATTCTCTCACACCAGAAGCGACTTGCAGTATGTTCTCTATTTGTTTCTGACACTGTAAAAAAGCTGGACTGAAGACTTGTGAGTAAATATGGTCTGGGCTTATCTTGTGTTTGTTTAATAAACCTCAGGCTTTATACCGGGAGAGCTCTGAAACACGAGACCATGAGTCTTGCTTTGTGTGTACTTATCGCTGCTTAGAGTGAACCCCTTTTCTGTATTTGAGGCTGTTTAATGATTTTAAACCCAAAAGTAATTTTTCCCCACACACGGATAATATAACCATCAGGGCATTTGAAAAGGTGGTTGAAAGAGACATAGACAGATTGTCCCGGACCAAAATTTACACCCATTCCAACATGACATCCATAGAAAGGAATACCATGAAAAGATTGGCCAACATGAAAGGATACATCTGGAAGAAGGCAGATAAAGGAGGAGCAATAGTTCCATTAAGCGAAATGGATTACGTAAAAGAGGTAGAGAGACACCCAGGAGACACTTCTTTCTCTAAACCTATCCCTAAGGATCCTACAGACAAAATATATTTTTAAATCTGAACAGTATGTACAGAAGGACTCACTTTAGGATGCATCTCAGATCAGCAATTTGAATTTCTGCAAAACAAGAATCCCAGAATTCCAGTGTTCTATGTTCCACCTAAAATACACCAAGGAAACATGCCTCCCCCAGGGAGACCAATTGTATCCGACTCTTCCTCCATCCTGGAATCCCTAGAGCAGTTTTTGGGTTATTATTTACAACCATTTGTACCCCTCGTGTAGTCTTATATTAAAGATACTAAACATTTCATAAAGATCATAGAGGACCTTACCATATCACCACAATCCATCTTAATGATTCTAGATATAACATTATTATATACCAACATACCATTAGATCAAACTAGAACAAGAATTACTAAACATACGTGAGCCCCAAACACCAGCTTCTCATATTTTAATGGATTTGTTAGACATTGTCCTGGAATATAATTTTTTCAGATTTAAAACCCAATACTATCTACAGATTTTTGGTGTCGCAATGGGAAGTCCTTTGGCCGCTTCAGTGGGAAATCTTTTTATTTCAAATTTGGAAGAAACCCACATCCTAAATAACACAAAACCAATTTTTTACCAGATATTCTATACGATGGCAGGTTTATCGATATTTTTTTAATTTGAAAATCAAAAGAATCTGCAATCTTCTTTAGTACTTGGCTTAACACAATACATGATAACATCAAATTCACTGCTAACCATAGCCATACAAATATAAACTTTCTAGATGTCATGGTATATAAGAAAGGCAATAAGAAAACCCACGGATAAAATTCCATCATGCATTGCAACACCTGCCACCATAATGCTGCAAGTTGCTTCTGGATGCTTCTGGAATGAGAGAATCAGCCGTCTACGAAGACATTGCCCAGGGGACACCCAAATGTCTTGCAATCCTGTGGGGAGCCTTCTCTCATGTTCCTCCAAGTGGCCAGCTAGTGATCAAAGGACATTTAATAGAATGCCAAGTTTGCAAACGTTGTGCTTTGTTCGTTTTTTCTTTGCTTGATTGTTTTTTTTTTATGCAACACAACTGTTTGGTTCACTAAATAAGAGATAAATAAACGATAAATAAATGTCACCATCATAGTTTAAACACCAGCTTACCCTATGCCACACTTATGAGATTACAACGAAAACACCACTGCCCCCGAGGAGGTCACACCAGAGGTCATTACTTTTGAGAAACAATTCAAAGAAAAAGGGCACCCCACAAGTATCATCAATACTGCTATTAGAAAAGTTAAGTCCACAGATAGAAATGATTTACTAAGCGATATGGCGGGGAAATCTAATGACTGTATTATATGGCCACTTAGGTTAACCACATATTTTCCACACATCAGGAAAATAATTAGAAAGCACTGACACTTGGTCAGTGACACTCCAGAATGCAAGAATGTTCCAATGATAGCCAACAAACGAACCCAGAATCTTAGGGATATGATGATCAGATCTGACTTCACAACCCCCTATACTATCAGCAAATCTAATCTTAGGGGCCACACGAGTTGCGGGCATTGTGCATATTGCATTCAATCTCTTAAAGTAAAACAGTTCTCACACCACACAATGCAACTCAACATACAACTTTGCAGTTTCACCAACTGCAATACAGAGAAAGTGATGTATGTCATACAAGGTCCATGTTCACTGCTATATGTAGGCATGACCTCCAGACCTTTAAAAATTAGAATTCTTGAACATAAATCCCACATTAGAAATAACCCATTGACTCTACTCTTTATTCCCATTTCAGTGAGAAATCCCACACACACATACACACACACACTAGCTTCAGATTTTGTGCTTTTTAAAAAAGGTAACCACACAACCCCATCAAGACTTTAAAAGAATTTCCTTCAGAGAGAGGCCTTTTGGATATGCAGGTTATATACCATTTCCATTCTGTAATTGACCTGTATCTCTCTAAGGGGAGACTTCTCCGTGGATTTTTGCTCGCACTTGAAAATGTTTATTATGGATGTTTTTCTTGATTGAATAACTGATGCTTTTATAGATTTTGCCCATGGTACTGATACAATAATACTCTGACTGTATAAGATATCTGTGTTATAATTAGTTTAGTTATTGAACAGCTTAACACTTCTACATTGATACATAGATACATCTGTTGCTTTCTATTTTATACTGTTTAATCCCCACCTTTGGCAAAGGGTCCATTGGGATGCACAGCACATCTCCCTAACTGCAGAGAATGGAAGGCAAAGAATGATGACAACGGCTTATGAAGATTCATGAATTAGTCGAGAAGGACAAATTAACTAAATGGATGAAGTATAGAACAGCATTTAAAGGAACAGAGATAAAAATCATATAGTGAGTGAGAGGTTTGTAGACTAGTGTTTGTTGTCTGTTAGTTTTGCTCTTATTGTGCAAGGTGTGTGTCCTTCACTTTACATTTGTTAAGTAGTACTTTTTTTTTTAAAGTACCAAAATTATAATTTGTGTAAAAAAAATTAAATACCAAAATTGTAATTTGTGTAAACATGCTTTGTTTTGTTTTTTGTCTTTGGATAAAAATTGTTTTTTAAAATAAAATATGCTACATCTGTTTAGGAAGCTGCATACCAGAACATACAGACAGGAAACAGGAAGCAACAGGATCATAGATAAACATTACTAGGGAAGGCTTGAAGAGCCTCCCATCTTGTGACCTCCCTTTTTGCCTTGATGATGGGAAGAGGGGTCTCACCTTTATCAGTCATCTCCCCCTCCCCTTTTTAATTCTTATTTTGATCTTAATACTGAATCGCACATGATATCCGGTGTCATAATCCATCCTCCCGCCCCTCTCTGCCATTCTCCCTTCCGCCTGCCTTTCCTTCCAGGCCACAGATCTCTCCTCTCTCTGGGCTCTCAAGGCGAACATGAGCCAAGCGTGTGATGCAGCAGCTGAAAAAGCCAATGGGATTCTGGGCTGCATCCAACGGAGTCTAGTGTTCGGATGGAGGGAAGCCATGGTGCCTCTCTGTCCTGCCTTGGTTAGACCTCACCTGGAATGACCCTGTGTCCAATTCTGGAAGAAGCAAAGGCCACCCACCAGCACGTGTGTCCTCTCTGCCTAAGACCATGTGGATCCAGAACACTTCTCTACAATCCAACAGCAGCAATAAGGGTTGTGGGCATTGGCTCTCTTGGGTCCCATTCCCAACAGGGTCAAAATATCCTCGAAGAAGAGCTGCCATTCCAAGTGAGCTGAACCCCTTCAAGCCAGGGCAGGCGGGCGATCCCTGTTCCTTTCCACACACACAGACAGGATATTGAGGATGCCATGAGGAAGAGGGGCTTTGCCTTCAGGCTTTGGGAGACGCCTCCTCTGGGACTCCAACTCCCAGCATCCCCAGCCCTGGTGCCAGGCCTTTCTGCAGGGACGGTGGGAGTTGTAGTCCAAGGGGGGCATTCCCTCCACTCTCTGCAGCGGGGATTCCCAGGCCCCAGCCCTCCCCCTTGCTCACTTCAACTCCCAGAAGCCTCAGCTGCCTTGAGCCAAGGTCGGGGATTCTGGGTGATGGAGTCCCAGGAGGGGGGAGGAGGACTGAAGGAAGGAAGGAAGGAAGGAAGGAAGGAAGGGAAAAGTAAAGGAAGGGAGGAAGGAAGGGAATAAGGAAGGGAAAAGGAAAAAAGGAGGGAAGGAAAAAGGAAAGAAAGAAAAAAGGAGGAAGGAAGGGAAAAGGAAAGAAGGAAAAACGGGAGGAAGGAATAAAGGGAGAAAGGAAGGGAAAAGGAAAGAAGGAGAAAAGGGACGAAGGAAGGAGAAGCCATCTCCCTCAGCCTCGTCTTCTTGGCTGCCTGGCTGCCCCTCCCTCCCTTCCTTTCTCTCTCCCTCCCTCCCTTGGCAGGGCCACTCCTCTCTTCCTGTGTGGAGGCTAAGCCCCGCCCTCCTTGGGGCACCGTCTCTGCGGGCGCCATCTTGAGGCCGGGCGGGAGTAGAGCGAGAGGGAGGCCTCCGCTTCCCAGAGAGGCAGGAAGAGAGGGGAGGGGAGAGGGGCGCGCTCCCCTCTGAGCTCACTTCCGGAAGGAGGGCAGGAAGGAAGGGCGGGCGGGCGCCAACCTCTCGCTGCTGCGGCCTAGCTGCCTCCTCTCTCTCTCTCTCTCTCTCTCGTGGATCCCGCCAGGACGGAGGCTTCTTCCCCGGCTTCTCTCTCCCTCTCTCCCTCTTCGGAGCCGGAGGTGAGCTCCCTCCCTTTCTGCTTCTGGGGAAAAGGTATTTCTTGCTGTGTCTTTCTCAGAGTTGATGTGGAGAGAGTCTGGTTGGCCTCCTCTGGAACAGGCAACATCTCTTGGTCCTTTCAAATCTAGGATACTCTATCTGTGTGTGTGTGTGTGTGTGTGTGAATCATATCTATCTATCTCTATGGCTCGATAGCTCTTTGTCAGGAGGGCTTTGATGACGTTCTCTTGCCCTGGTGAAGAAGGGAATTGGACTGGGTGGCCTTAAGTATTTTCTGTTAGTCTTGGGGGTTCTGTGTGGGAAGTTTGCTCCAAACCCATCGTTGGTGGGGTTCAGAATGCTTTTTGATTGTAGGTGAACTATAAATCCCAGCAACTACAACTCCCAAATGATAAAATCAATTGTTAGTAGGTGTCTTGTGGCCAAATTTGGTGGCAATTCGTCCAGTGGTTTTTGAGTTCTCTTAATCCCACAAACAAACATTACTTTTTTTATTTACATAGATTATCATTATTATTTCCAGACTTTTCACATTAGCGGTCCACTTTTCAAAATGGATCATTCAGAACAAAGTTATTCAGTTTTAGTAGGCAATCGGAGGTTGAACCAAGCCCGTCTAAGAATTAGAGCAGCGGGTTAAACCACTGAGCTGCTGAACTTGCTGACTGAAAGGTTGGCAGTTTGGATCTGGAGAGCGGGGTGAGCTCCCGCTGTTAACCCCAATTTCTGCCATTCAGATACCTGCAAATGTGAGTAGATGAATAGGTGCCACTTCTGCGGGAAGGTAACAGCACTCCATGCAGCCGCGCCAGTGGCCACATGACCTTGGAGGTGTCTACGGACAACGCCGGCTCTTCGTCTTTGAAATGGAGATGAGGACCAGCCCACAGACTTAATGTCAGAAGGAAACCTTTGGGAATCCTAGAGTTGGAAAAGACCTCATGGGCCATCCATTCTTCCAAGAAGCAGGAGACTCTCATTCAAAGCAACCCCAAGAGATGCCCACCCAGCCTCTGTTTAAAAGCCTCCATAGAAGGAGCCTCCACCACACTCCCTCCGGGGCAGGAAGAGAGTTCCACTGCTGAACAGCTCGCTCTCACAGTTGGGGAGTTCTTCCTCATGTTCAGGTGGAATCTCCTTTCTTGTAGTCTGAAGCCATTGCTCCATGGCGTCCTAGTCTCCAGGGAAGCAGAAAGGAAGCCTGCTCCCTCCCCCCTTTATGTATGGAATGTATGGGAATGCGATGTGTCTCATGGACACCTGTGGATACGGAGGTCTGGCTACCCAGTGAGTCTTCCATGTTTTTATTCAGAATCCTGAGCTTGTCACCTGGATCTTCCACCTCCCCAAAACCCATCGGAATAACGTCTGTGAGTAGTGAGGAATATTTGGGGGCACGTTCTTTTCCCTCGTTGGGGTGCCCTTTCCTCAAAGGGAGCCATGTTCTGCGTGAGGAGGAGGAAGAGGGCCTTCTCTTCTGCAGTCTCCTCAATTATGGGATGCCCTCCCCTTCAACGCCCACCCAGTGCAGATCTTGAAGGACGTCTCCTCAAAACCTGGGGTTCCTTTCCTTCCTCTCTTGGTCCTCTGCTGTGAACACAGCCGGTCGGTAGCCTGTTGGGAATTGTGGGGATTGAAGTCCAAAACACAAGGAGAGCCCAAGAATACCGGTGATATTTAATTCTGTTGTAATGTTTCGTATATTTTTAGATTTGGAATTGTATTGAAATGTAAGCTGCTTTGGCCCTTTCCACACAGCTGTATAAAATCCACACTGAACTGGTTTATTTGGCAGTGTGGACTCTGATAATGCAGTTCAAAGCAGATATTGTGGATTATCTGCCTTCAAAGTAGTTGTTCTCCTCCAGAAACTTTGTTTGTGTGGCTGCCACAAACTATGATGAATCTATGGGAGTTCTGTATGCTATTTATTTATTTATCTATCTATCGTGTCAGGAGCAACCAGACCATTGTATTACATTTCTAAAAGAACAAAACGAACAAACAGATTTTAAAAAACACAAAGTTTGCAAGCTTGATAGTTGATTAAATGTCCTTTGACCAGTATCTGGCCACTTGGAGTGCCTCTGGTGTTGCTGCAAGAAGGTCCTCCCTTGTGCATGTAGCAGGGCTCAGGTTGCATTGCAACAGGTGGTCAGTGGTTGGCTCTTCTCCACACTCGCATGTCGAGGATTCCACTTTGTGGCCCCATTTCCCAAGGTTGGCTCTGCATCTCGTGGTGTCACAGCGCAGTATGTTCAGCGCCTTCCAAGTTGCCCAGTCTTCTGTGTGCCCAGGAGGGAGTCTCTCATCTGGTATCACCCACAGATTGAGATGCTGGGTTTGAGCCTGCCACTTTTGAACTCTCGCTTGCTGAGGTGTTCCAGCGAGTGTCTCTGTAGATCTAAGAAAACTATTTCTTGATTTAAGTCATTGGCGTGCTGGCTGATACCCAAACAAGGGATGAGCTGGAGATGTCTCTGCCTTGGTCCTTTCACTATTGGCTGCTACTTCCCAGCAGATGTCAGTTCAGCGCCTTCCAAGTCTTCTGTGTGCCCAGGAGGGAGTCTCTATTTGGTATCAGCCATTGGTTGAGGTTCTGGGTTTAAGCCTGCCACTTTTGGACTCTCACTTGTCACTGCCTTGGTCCTTTCACTATTGGTTGCTACTTCCCGGCGGATGTCAGGTGGTGCAATACCGGCTAAACAGTGTAATTTCTCCAGTGGTGTAGGGCGCAGACACCCCGTGATAATGTGGCATGTCTCATTAAGAACCACATCTACTGTTTTAGCGTGGTGAGATGTGTTCCACACTTGGCATGCATACTTAGCAGCAGAGTAGCATAGCACAAGGCCAGATGTCTTCACTGTGTCTGGTTGTGATCCCAAGGTTGTGCCAGTCAGCTTTCGTATGATATTGTTTCTATTTATTATTTTGCGCATTTCTACCCCGCTCCTCTCAACCCCCGAGGGGGACTCAGAGCGGCTTACAGAAGGCACAATTCGATGCCAACACAAATAATAATATAAAACATATATCAACAGCAATTATAAACAATTAAAACAATCAGTTATACATCACAATCAATAAAACCAGTCTAATTCTCAACGTTCGCCAGCTCAGAGTCCGTAGTTCATTCCACATTGTCAAATCCTATCAATTCTAGTCGTCATTGTCCTTTGTCTATCTGCCAGATTACCCAAAGGCCTGGTCCCATATCCATGTTTTTAGTTTCCTTCTAAAAGAGAGGAGGGATGTCGATGACCCAATTTCCCCGGGAAGTGAATTCCACCCACTAGCACCCACTTTTTGGTTGCAGGAGCCACTGCAGCTCCCACATGCCTGAGGGTATTTCCCCCAAACCTCTCCAGTATTTCCTGTTGGTCATGGGAGTTCGGCCAGTAGGCTGATCAGTTAACATATCCATGGGTTCCCTGCTCTTATATTAAGACTGTTGTCCATGCTACGACATGCTTGAAGTCAAAATTTCATTGATTTGTTATTAGAAATAAATATTTCACAATATATAGTTACATAATTGTTTTTGTGATTAATCACTATGCTTTATGTTCAGTTTGTAACAATGAGAATACATCCTGCATATCAGATATTTACATTATGATCCATAACAGTACCAAAATAACAGTTGTGAAGGAGCAGTGAAAATAATATTATGGTTGGGGGTCACCACAACATGAGGAACTGCATTAAGGGGTCGCGGCATAAGGAAGGTTGGGAACCACTGGTGTATATGAAGAGAGGCCACCCGATGATGCGCAGCTAAAGCGCTGGAAAATAGAGTGCATCTACACTGCAGAATTAATGCAGTTTGACACCAGTTTGACTGCCACGGCGTAATGCTATGGAATCCCAAGATTTAAGATAAGTTGTTTTGCCTTTTCTGCCAAAAGATCCAACTGCAGCTCCAGGATTCCATAACATTGAGTTAAAGGGGTTCTTCATGTTAAATATTGTATTTGTTCCTGTTTTGTTTTTTTGTTACTTCAAAATAAGATCTGTGCAGTGTGCATAGGAATTGGATCATAGTTTTATAAAAAAAAAAACCTCTGACCCTCCAACCGTCTGAGGACAGTGACCTGGCCCCCATTTAAAAGGTTTGAGGACCCCTGCCCTAAATGGCCCCGGCACAATGTACTTGTCCGAACACATCAGTTTCCATTAGGAGGTTTTAATTATAATCCAGCAAGCAGGTAGTTAATGATTTAGTCATTGCGGGCCTTAATCTTTTTGAATGTTGTCTCCAAAATTATTAACTCTCATTCATTCTTACATTCAGTTCCATTCACACCATATATCATATTGAATCTGCACATTATGTTTCTTGTGACAAGCAGATGGCAACTACTGGGTGGCATATGTTCTGTATCAGAAACTAGAGCTGATGTGTTCTCTACAATACAATTTTCTGAATCAACACCCCAAATAACCAAACCGAATCTAATATTGACCAAAAACGGATTTGTAACCCTTTTGGTACTAATCTTGGAGAGCGGTCCCTGGTCAAGAGGTCCTTGGTCCCAAAAAAGATTGGGAGCCACTGCACTAGACAGACGGCACAAGGGATTGTAAATGGAAGCCTAAGCAAGCCACGTGAAATCCAAAAAGGGACTAGGCAGGGATGCCTGCTCTCACCTCTTCTATTTATATGAGTTCTTAAAGTATTGTTAAGAGAGATAACACGTGAGGAAAAGATTTTGGGAATAAGGATTTTAAAAGAAAATGTAATTGTAATATGAGAAAAGAGGTCTAGAGGGTGAAGCGTACGATATTAGCTTTCTTTGTGACTAGATAGGAAGAGACCGGCGATCATCTATCTTCCTTCCCCCTCCCCTCTCCCCCCCCCCCCATTTTTCTTTTTCCTTTTCCCCCCTTTTAAAGAAAAGGATGTATAAAAAGAGAGGGAGCAGATAACAGCAATGTTACATGGAAATGAAGTCTGTATAGATATGAGCACCCATGGAAACCAGGAGGGCCTTCTCTTCTGTGACCTCCCCATGATGTGCTACCCTCCTCTTCAAAGCCCACCTGGTGCAGAGGTTGATGCAATTCCAGTCTCCAGGTCTACATTATCAGGCCTTCCTTTTTAAATCAATTATAACACATAAATTGAAAAATAGTAAAACCTAAACAGTTGTGTTTCGGGAACACAAGCTCATGTATTTAAGAAACACATTTTTCACACCACACTGCGGAGCTGAAGGTAATCCATGCAGCCTGGGTTGGCTGCAACACATCCACCGCTCCCCATTCATGAGCAAAAGAAAGGCGGGAAGGATCTAAGCGTCCCTGGAGGCAGGAAGAGAAGGGCAGAGGGGCCTGCAAATAAAGGAGGGGAGGATGGACAGAGGGATGAAGGGGAAGGCTCAAAAAGGCACGTGGAGGAAGAATCCCTGCAGCCTCAGAAAAGTTAGCGTTTGGCCTTTCAAGGAGGAAAAGAGTGTGCTTCCCCTTTGAAGTCCTGTGTCTGTTCCCTGCAGGATTCTGGAGTTTGTAGTTGAGAGAGGCCCAGGACCCCTCTGGCTGAGAATTAGAAAGGCCCCTCCCTGAACACCTTGCAGTGTAAGAAATCGCACACGGAGAATCTTGGGGCCCCGTCCCCTTTGTACCTGAGGAAGGATTTTTCGGTGTTGGGCAAGTGTCAAAGTATTTGTCACCAGGCAATGGGCAGCTTCCCTCTTCCTCTTGGTTTGCTACAGCACTAGACTTCCTCTTCATGTTCCATGAGATCTTTCCCTGTTCAACCCCTGAAGAGATTTTTCTCTCATTTGTTTGGCAGGTAACTTCTGAACAAGTTCTGCGAAGAACACCTTGTGAGAGCTTTGCCCAAGGAGTGTTGTAAGTCCAAAGTGACCTCAAGATACACAACAATAAAACAAGAAAAAAAATACCTGTGCTGTTAAGGTGAGGAAATAAGAACGTTCTGAAAAAAGAGAGGCTTGGGAAAGCAAGCAGAAGGCTAAAGCAATACAAAAACTGTACTGTTCAGGAGGTTTAAATCTGTGAACCCCTGGCAAAATGTTTGAATTATAAATGTAAAAGAATGGCAAGTCCCCTACCTCCCTATCCTAGAGCAGACACAGGGGAGAAGTTACATCAGTGTACGGAGTGTGGAAAACAATTTGCTAGGGAAAGTTCTCTTACTGTACATGAACGGACTCACACAGGGGAGAAGCCCTATAAATGCATAGAATGTGGAGAAAGTTTCAGTCAGAGTGGAAATCTATGTTCCCATCAAGGGACCCACACAGGGAAGAACCCACATAAATGCATAGAATGTGGAGAAAGCTTCAGTCGCAGTGACAGTCTACGTTCCCATCTAAGGACACACACAGGGGAGAAGCCATATAAATGCATGGAATGCGGAATGAGCTTCAGTCGGAGTGGCAATTTACGTTCTCATCAAAGGACCCACACAGGGGAGAAGCCACATAAATGCATGGAATGTGGAAAGAGCTTCAGTCATGGTAGCAATCTACATTGCCATCAAAGGACCCACACAGGGGAGAAGCCACATAAATGCATGGAATGTGGAGAAAGCTTCAGTCGCAGTGACGGACTGCGCTCCCATCAATGGAAGCACACAGGAGAGAAGCCACATAAATGCATAGAATGTGGAGAAAGCTTCAGTCGCAGTGATACTCTACGTTCCCATCTAAGGACCCACACAGGGGAGAAGCCATATAAATGCATGGAATGTGGAATGAGCTTCAGTCGGAGTGGCAATTTACGTTCTCATCAAAAGACCCACACAGGGGAGAAGCCACATAAATGCATGGAATGTGGAAAGAGCTTCAGTAATGGTAGCAGTCTACATTGCCATCAAAGCACCCACACAGGGGAGAAGCCTTATAAAAGCATGGAATGTGGAGAAAGCTTCAGTCGCAGTGACACTCTACGTTCCCATCAAGGAAGCCACACAGGGGAGAAGCCCTATAAATGCATAGAATGTGGAGAAAGCTTCAGTCAGAGTGGAAATCTACGTTCCCATCTAAGGACCCACACAGGGGAGAAGCCACATAAATGCATAGAATGTGGAGAAAGCTTCAGTCGCAGTGACAGACTGCGTTCCCATCAATGGAAGCACACAGGGGAGAAGCCACATAAATGCATGGAATGCGGAGAAAGCTTCAGTCACAGTGGAAGTCTACGTTCCCATCTAAGGACCCACACAGGGGAGGAGCCACATAAATGCATGGAATGTGGAGAAAGCTTCAGTCGCAGTGACAGACTGCGTTCCCATCAATGGAAGCACACAGGGGAGAAGCCACATAAATGCGTGGAATGTGGAAAGAGCTTCAGTGTGAGTGGCTATCTACGTTCCCATCAAAGGATCCACACAGGGGAGAAGCCATATAAATGTATGGAATGTGGAGAAAGCTTCAGTTGGAGTGGCACTCTACGTTCCCATCTAAGGACACACACAGGGGAGAAGCCACATAAATGCATAGAATGTGGAGAAAGCTTCAGTCGCAGTGACAGTCTACGTTCCCATCTAATGACCCACACAGGGGAGAAGCCATATAAATGCATGGAATGTGGAATGAGCTTCAGTCGGAGAGGCAATTTACGTTCTCATCAAAGGACCCACACAGGGGAGAAGCCACATAAATGCATGGAATGTGGAATGAGCTTCAGTCATGGTAGCAATCTACATTGCCATCAAAGGACCCACACAGGGGAGAAGCCACATAAATGCATGGAATGTGGAGAAAGCTTCAGTCGCAGTGACGGACTGCGCTCCCATCAATGGAAGCACACAGGGGAGAACCCACATAAATGCATAGAATGTGGAGAAAGCTTCAGTCGCAGTGACACTCTACGTTCCCATCTAAGGACCCACACAGGGGAGAAGCCATATAAATGCATGGAATGTGGAATGAGCTTCAGTCGGAGTGGCAATTTACGTTCTCATCAAAGGACCCACACAGGAGAGAAGCCATAGAAATGCATAGAATGTGGAGAAAGTTTCTGTCAGAGTAACAATCTGCATTCCTTTCAAAGGACCCACATAGCGGAGAAGCCATACAAATGCATGAAACAGGGAAAGAGCTTCAGTCTTTAAAAGGAATAACAGATAAAATGAAGATAAAAGGAGAACATATAAAGAAATTTGGAGAGCCAACGAAATTTGAAAATATAATATTAAAAGAACAGGCTAAAGAAGAAAATGAGCATCAAAAAAGGGTAACAAGTATGATATACAAAATATCAGTAGAGATTAAAGGGGGGAAGGGATATAAAAGGGAACTATGGGAGGAAGAATTGGGAATAAAAATATGGAGAGCAAGACACCTCAAGAATGTATAAATTAGGATAAAAGAAAACTACTACAAGACGGTATGGAAATGGTACCTGACCCCGAGAAAGTTACATAATATGGATAAGGGTTGTTCAGAAAAGTGTTGGGGGGAGGGGGGGTTGTCAAGAAAGGGGTACGTATATCCACATGTGGTGGCAATGCAAATATGTACAGAGGTTCTGGGGGAAATTATAGTGGAAATAGAAAGTATTATGCAGAAAAAAATAAATATAAATCCGGCGACTAAACTGTCATCTGTATTTATAATACAGATGAATGGAAGGAAAATGAAAAGAATCTGATCACGATGTTGTTGACAGCTGCAAGGCTACTAATAATAGCAGAATATTGGAAAGGAGAGGTGGAGATTAGGATAGAAGGATGGTACAAGGAAATTTGGAAATTAGCAGTAAATGAGAAACTAACATGCAATCTAAAGGTTTAAAAACACCTAAGGAAGGGTAATGATTTTGAAAGTATATGGAAAATATTTACTGTAGAAACGTGAAGGAATGAAGGTGGGGACCATGAGGTTCTGGTGGGAGCATAATGGAAAGAAGAACTCCGGAGATGGGGAGCACAAGGGGTAGCACAACGGGGGAAAGGAGGAGAAGCCGTTGTATGAATTGGTTCTTTGTAATGATTTTTCGTAATGAAGTGAATATGAATGCAATAAAAAGTTATTTTTTAAAAAAGGGCTTCACTCACAGTGGAAATCCACATTCCCATCAAAGACCCACACGGGGGAGAAGCCACATAAATGCATGGAACGTGGAAAGAGCTTTAGAGAATGTTCAGCATCCATTAAACATCACGCAACTCATGCGCCGCTAGAGGAGACCTGCCTTTCGGTTTCCGAGCTCTCTAAGGAAACATCGGAGGGAAAGGGGAATGGCGGCACAGTGGAATTGCTCTCTCTCTACCATGAGTTGCAGTTTGTGTGGCCTTGAGCAACAGCTACTGGGAGCAGGTCTCCCTTTTCTCAGGATTGCAGCAAGCTTCCAAGGGGTTCACCTGACCTCCTCCACAAGGAACCCACCACAGGCTTCTAGAACAATCTGTGAAGGTTTGCTGAAAGGAGCAGAAGCGGAGATCTACTGCTGGATAAAGGGGTTCAGAAACAGAATAGCTCTTTGTTGGCAGATAAGATCATTTCTCCATAGCCTTGCCTCACGTCTTGGCTCTTCTGCCCTTCGGTTAGGATTTGGGGCTCCAGCCATGTACCGGGAACCCTTTTCTGGAGTTTGTTGTCTCCTGAATCGTTGGCTCTAAATTCTGGACTGACTTCCTGGTTTCGTTTATGAACCAGGACTTTGTTTGTATCCCTGACTTTCTGACTTGACTTTGGGACTCTGAATCCAGTTTGTACTCTTGATTTCTTGATTGTTATTTTATCAACTCTGTTGAATGAACTCCTGGCATGTGACAACTGGAGTGTAACCTTGGCCATTGTTTCTTCTTGCTCCTGACCTGGATCTGCAGTGCTCAACTTGTCTGCATTAACTGGACTCTTGGCCTTGACTTGTGTTCATTGTTGTTGTTGTTGTTTTGTTTTGTTTTTTGGGGGTTGTGTTTTGTCGTGTCAGGAGCGACTTGAGAAATTAAGTCGCTTCTGGTGTGAGAAAATTGGCTGTCTGCAAGGACGTTGCCCAGGGAACGCCCGGATAAATTGATGTTTTTATCATCCTTGTGGGAGGCTTCTCTCATGTCCCCGCATGAGGAGCTAGAGCTGGTAGAGGGAGCTCATTCGCCTCTCCCCGGATTCGAACCTGTGACCTGTCAGTCTTCAGTCCTACCGGCACAGGGGTTTAACCCACTGCGCCACCGGGGGCTCCTTGTGTTCATTGTTACTCCCACTCGGCTGATGCAATTGTATTATTTTAGCCGGACTGGCGCAATGGGTTAAACCCTTGTGCCAGCTGAACTGCTGACCTGAAGGTTGGTGGTTCAAATCCTGCAAGGCAGGATGAGCTCCTATCCTGACAGACACCCTTGCTTCCCATGCGGAGACGTGAGAGAAGCCTCCCAGCAAGATGGTAAAACGTTCGGGCATCCCCTAGGCATCGTCTTTGTAGATGTCCACTTCTCTCACACCAGAAGTGACTTACAGTATGTTCTCACTTCTTTCCTGACACAATAAAAAAAAGGTGGACTCAAGGCTTTAATTTTCTTATAAGCAAATCTGGTCTTGGCTTATCTTGTGTTTGTTTAATAAACGTCAGGCTTTATACCAGGAGAACCCTGGAACACAGGACCATCCGCCTTGCTTTGTGTGTACCTATTTATTTACAGTATTTATATTCCGCCCTTCTTACCCCGCAAGGGACTCAGGGCGGATTGCAATGTACATATACATGGCAAACATTCCATGCCATAGACACACAACATATATAGACAGACATATATCCCTGCTTAGAGTGAACTCCTTTCCATACTTGAGACGGTTTAATCCTCACCTTTGGCAAAGGGTCCATTCGGATACGCAGCTCTTCTCCCTCACTGCAGAGAATGGAAGGCAAAGAATGGTGACAACGGCTGGTGAAGATTCACGTCCATCAGTCGAGATGAACAAGTTAACTCAATTGATGAAGTATTTAGAACAGCATTTAAAGGAAATAGAGATATAAATCATATAGTGAGAGAGAGGCTTATAGACTAGTGTTTGTTGCCCGTTAGTTTTGTTCTTATTGTGCAAGGTGTATCTCCTTCTTCGCTTTATATTTGTTAAGTAGTACTTTAAAAATGGACCAAAATTATAATTTGTATAAACATAGTTTGTTTTGTTTTTTTCTTTTTTTTGTCTATAAATACATATTGTGGGGTTTTGTTTTGTTTTGTTTTTTAAAGTGTGATGCATAAGCTTTAAGAAGCCATTGTGATTCAAGGCTGTCCCAATGGGAGGGTGAGGTCTAGATCCAGGTAAATTTGAGCCCACTCTCTCCTAGACTTGGATCAGACCTCCCCTGGAATCACCCTGCGTCCAGTTCTCGGCTGCACCATTCCAGCAAGATTTTGAGATGCTGGAATGTCTCCAGAGAAGGGCGATAGGGAATGGCTGAGGGAGCCGGGGATGTTTAGTTTGGAGGGGGGGAAAGGCCGAGTGGACAGGAGAGCCCCTATTTGGAAGGATGTCCCATTGAGGAGAAAAGGGCAAGTTTTTCCTGCCTCTCTGGAGACTAAAATATAAAGCAACTGATTCACACTGCAGGAATGAACTTTCCACCTAAACATTAGGAAGCATTCCCTGGTGGGAAGAGCTGTTCAGCATTGTCCCTTCTCAGGAGCCTCCCTTCCCAAGCCCTGGCCTTCCACTTCCTGGGGACTCCATGTCCCACAATCCCTGATCTTGGACCAAGGCAGCTGAAGCAAGTCCAAGAAATCTTGGGGGAATCATTTGGGAATCCCTACTCCAGAGAGTGGGAGGAATGGCTGTCTTGGACTACAACTCCCAATAAACGCTACAAAATGTCCTGGAATGGGAGTTGGAGAACCCTGGGAGTTGTAGTCCAAGACAAAGAGGTCTCCCAAGTCCTTGCAATGAAAGGCTTTCTTCCTCATGGGATTGCATATGTTTGTGTTCATCCATGGAGACAAGGATTTAGAACGAAACAAGGGAAATCTGCATTGATTCTCTGCCACCACTTTACCTTTTACTGGTCACTTCTGATGGCAGCAGTCGATCAAATATACATTAACCCAATGTCCGAAATGTAAGAAAGAGTCCTGTGTTTTGACATCATTAATCCAAAGTTACCTTTTTGGACTCCAGCTCCCATAATCCTTCCCCACAAGAAGACTTCAAAAGTCTTGGAGGGAGGCCAGGTAAAGGGAGATCCTGGTTGTTTATAGATTTGGGGGATTTGGGTTGTTCTGGGTCTTGGGCCCCCTGAGGGGGGGTGGGGGTGTCTTTTCCTGGGACTCCCACTTCCTCTCCTTTTGTATTGATTTCAGGAGAAACCATATATAGCCGATACATAGTAATAACTAATTTTTTGTACTCTGCCTCCATCTCCCTGAAGGGAATTGGGGTGGCTTACATACGGCACAATGTGCCTGGAACAACGCAAAAAATAAACATACAATGCAATAAAAGACAAAACCACAAGCATATAAACAATTACTTATACTTAAAACAGCGCCCAATACCCTAAGGTACCTGGTGAGGTTCCACTAAATCAGATCGGCCAGGACAGAGAACAAGTTATTCATGTTTGAAGGCCAACAACAGAGGTTGATCTCAATTTGGCTAAAATGGATACCACTCGAAGATGTACAAGCATAACTTCACAGAGAAAATCATGACTTTCAAT